TTATCAACAACTGTCAAACTTTCAATGACCCCCCCCCCATAAGTAATTATGTCAACATTTTTAGAACCCCCCCCCCTTTCCAAATAAAAATAATACAAAAATAAAAATTGAACAATGATATAAATAAATATATAAAAAATTCTACTTTGTGCTGATCTATTTTAATAACACCAAATTTTAGGAGGAACATTTTTATTGCATCTTAAGCTTGTTAATCAAACAAGTTAAAACGTTTTTACACTTAAATTTTATCATGCAGAATCAATGAAAAGGTTGTTAAAGACTAAATACCTTTGTTTGTGGCAGTAGAAATATGATTATTGTCAGTAAAGCTGACAAGTGTAGCGTACTTTCTAGCTGCTATCATCTTCCCAGGGTGTTGCACTATCGTAACAATGGGCATAGTAACTGATTTATCATTTTCATCTTGCGAAACTGATATACCAGACAAGTCAACATCATCCTCATCTTATCATTCTTATCATTCAGCACTTAAAATAGAAGCATTGTCAGTGTGATCAGTAATTGCCATACGCTCTCTCTGTCTCCTGGCAGCTACTTGCATTAGTCGAATCCTTTTTTGTTGAGAAGCAGGTTGTAATTTCCCATGCATTGTCGGTGCTGTTGAACTTGCTATTTCAACATGACTTGTGATAGAAAATAGATGTTACAGATGTTGCAAATCCGTTCAAGCAGCGATGTTATTATTGCTACTCACTTTACTTTCCCCTAATTCTAAAAATAGCGTATTCCTACTCTGTCAAGATCATTTATCTTGACCTCACATGACACTTAAACCTTGTCCCCGATCCCCACCTGCAATATGATCGCAAACATACCACGGCAGTCATTTGCGACAAACAGAATCTACAGGCGAAGATAGGCTAACTTTTGTCTTCTCTTGCACTACCAAAGTTTGCTAACATTCTGACCAACCATCAGCAGTGCACAGACAAACATTAAATAAATCTTATATTGTTAAAAACCTAAAATTATATAACTATTTTCATTTAAACTCATTAAATTTGTTAAAATAACAAGTTAAATTTTAAGATTGAAATTTTAATAGAGAAAACATGATTGTTGACGTCAAATAATCTAACTCCCTCCCCCTTGTCAACAATTGTCAAACATTTCCACCCCCCACCCACTTATTTGGTTAACATAATGGACGTACTCTTGATGATTGCATAATACATTAAGCATGATACATAGTACTGCAGCGATCATTTTTTTCTTTAAAGTGATGTAACAACATAGGTTGCTTATCTGTAAAAATTTTACACCTTCAATTTTAAAATAGTTTTTAAAAATATTTCTTATGAAAAATAAATGAAGAAAAAATGTTGCCCTTCCATTTCTAAACATAAAATAAAATTGAATGATGAACAAAGTAGCTTGTTGTTAAGTCTCCTAACGTGGAAATCTTAGTCACATCATGACAGGGTCCTTGCAAGTTCTAAGTAAAGAACAGAAATTAAGAAAAAAGCAAAATTCTATTTAGGGCACCGTTTCCGAACCTTTTGAGACCCCTCCAACCTTGTGTGTCTTACACTCTTATTTTGCATGTGTTTTATACCCCAAAAGTGCACCTAAAATTGTTAAATATTTCAGCCCCCCCCCCTTTTTTTTTTCTTCATATAATTACGTTTTAGTGAAAACGCTTTTAACAAAACAAACAAGCAGACAAACAAACAAGACAGCTCAACATGTTATTGTCACAAAAATGAATTTCCAGTTTAGCTGCCTATAAATCGAACATTGTAAACTAAACTTTACAAAAAGTGAATGTTTTTGTTTTTTTAATTTAATAAAGGATAAACAAATTCAGTGGTTTCTTTTTTTCTCTTTCTTCTTCTATTTAATAGTTAATAATAAAAATAATAATAAAGATTATTTGATAATCACGCTTCATCCCCAAAGGCTCGAAGCGTGGTACATACCACACTGAAGTACAAAATGCAACATTACAAAAACATCATACGAGAATACCCATTCTAAGTCTTTCATACCTTGCAACCATAAACAACAGAGGTCAATATACATCTAAAAGATAATTGCTAGATAGACAACATCCCGTCCAGAAGATGTTTGTGAAATAGATAAGTCTTCAAATCAGTCTCAAATTGCTATATGATGGTCACGTCAAAGTGAAGAAAGGAAAAATAAATGTCGCCAGACGTTGCCATGCTTCGAATGGCAACTCCATTGTGATTAGCCATATCTAAAGGACTTGTGGTAGACGTATCTAGAGAAGTTGTGGTCGCCAAATCTAAGGAACTTGTTGTAGACATATCTAAAGAACTTGTGGTAGCCATATCTAAAGAACTTTCTTTTCTAAAGAACTTGTGGTAGTCATATCTAAACAACTTGTGGTAGCCGTATCTAACGAACTTGTGGTAGCCTAATTTAAATAACTTGTGGTAGTCATATCTAGAGTACTTGTGAGAGCCATACCTAAAAAACCTTTGGTAGCCATATCTAAAGAAATTGTTTGTGCCATATCTAAAGAACTTCTGGTAGCCATATGTGAAGTACATGGGGGATCTATATCATTAAAAACGTGTAGGAGCTATACTTAAATAATTGTTGCTAGCCATATCTGTTTGAATCAGTGGCTCAAAGATGTTGAAACTGATGTACATCGTTCGTCTCGAATGTCATAAAAGATTTGTAATTATAAAAAAAGAAGACGAACTAATGCAAGATCATTTTTAAAAAAAATATAATCAACTCACAGACTAAGCTGTCCCAACGTCATAGATGGATAGTCACCATTATCCCTACCTGTCCGCTCTTTTTTGGATAACATCTTAAAAGAACGCAAGAAGGGCATCCAATCTCCCCCAAACCCCCCCCCCCCCCCCCCCCCCCCCCCCAAAAAAAAACAAAAAAAAAAATTAATCCTCTCTGAAACCTCACAAATTTTGTTATTTTGACTGCAACTTTATTCAGTAGCCGGCGGTGGGATGCATTCAACATTTAAATGTGACGTAGAATAGAAGGTCTTAGAACGAAGCACCGAAACAGGCTAAATATGAAGAGAGGTCGGATGTGGAAAAAAAAAGGGGGGGGGGTGGGTGGGTGGGGGAAGTGTAACACAGATTCACCAGAGTAGACAGTAATTCTCAGCTGACTGATGAGTGACAACAAAGGTGGGCCTCAAACGTAAAGGGTGGGGGTTGGGGGAGGAGGGTACTCCATTTATGTAGTTTAGTACTAAGTCAAGATGGGGGACGTATGTCGAGGAGATCATTTGATGTGGGAATCATGAGTATTTGGCGTCATCCTTAGGAAGCGGCGGGGGTTTGAGCACAGGAC